CTTACACTCCACCGCCTCTGGCTTGGGGTTTCGTCTACCACTAAGAAAAGCAGTTAAAATTTGGAAAAATTATCTGAGCCCCGCTGGTCAGCAGAGAAGAAGCAGGATTAGTTCAAGAGCAGACTAGCACAGCTTTTGAACCAAGTCCTAGTTAGAGGGACAGAGAGAGGAGCAGTTCAAAAGTGAGAAACAAATTCAGTAAATTTTCACATCCCCTCGAGAGAATGACTGGTTCACGAGACCAGGAAGAGTTCTCATCAGCTTGTAGCTTCCCCAAACTGGCCATTTCTTTGGGCAATGCTAATTCCACTTCATGCCTCAAAGGGCTGTACAGCACATGAGACTCATCAATCTCCAAATAAAAACTTTCCTCTTAAAAGCTATTACTGCATGGACTTGTACTGAAAAGGTCCCTCAAGGCTGCTGGTCTAAGGATTTTCCATGAGCTCCACCACCCTAGCACCCCACACTACTCCCAGGTTAGATCTGAAAGGGGAATGTCACATAACCTTCACTGTCTAGGGGAGGGGTGGCACACGCACATGGAGCCAGCGTCAGCCCTGGCGTGGTCTGCCAGGGTGCCCCAGCGCCCTGCAGGTTGCTGCAAGAGCTTCTGGTGGGGAGGACAGGAGACACCCCCTCTCCTGCTGCAAAGGACCATGGGCTCCTGCAGAGGACCAAAACCAGGCACAAACGTCACATTTCAACTGCTTTTAATCAAATCTTGCTGTGAAAGCAGCAAAGGGACTCAGTCATAATCTTTGTTAGGAGGTTGAACTCAGAATTGTTTGAAACGAGTGCTGGTATACAAGCCAGATACCTTTCAATATCAAGAGCATAGCCATAATATATCAGGTATCACTTTACGGGGTGAATTTTAAATACATTCTACATGTTGAATCATATATTCACATACTGAAATGGACAGCACATTTAATGAGTAGCCCAGGTGGCTACTGTAGATTTTGTTTTAAAGCAAGATTGCTAAGACCAAAATTTATTTGCCAAAATGGAAGTCTCTTCGGGTGCTCCCTTTATATCACTTCAGCTGCCCACCATTACCGAAGCAGAAAAATGTCATACGGAATATATATTTATATAAACTCACTGACTGGTTTTTTCCATCTATACTCTGCTGTATAGATGGTCTATATTTGGAGATACTCCAGACCAAAAGGAATGAATATTGTTTTGATCCTATAAGCTGAAACCAAAAAAATTTGTTTATACCTGGTCCAAGATTGCTATACATATATTGGATACATAAATCAAGCCTCCCCAAAGTGGCAAACAAGCAACCAAAATTTTACCAGATATAATCTGGCATAACCGGTTAGATATTTTATTTGTCTGGTAGTTCCATAAGTATGCTAGATGTCTATTCCTCACACTTCATAAGTACTTTCAGGTAAAACTGGAGATATTAAATAGCTACAAGACACGTGAAAATACACTTTTTTTAATGGAGTGATGCTTTGAGAATTTAATTTTTAATGTCATTAAAATATTTCATTACTTTTAAATTACTTTAGGAAAAGAAAGAGTTGGTATACTTAGAGTAGCAGGCAAAGAAAGCAGTCAAGTAAATCTGATCTCTCTGGCTTTCATATTGTTCACAGGTGCAAAGACTGAAAAAATACTGAAAAAAGGTTTAAATAGTGCTGTATGAAGGGATCTGAACTGAATCAGTGAGACAACAAATTATAAAGAGGTAGAGCAGCAATCTATTTAAAAAAAAAGAGTAACAGTCCTTAACGGGTACGATTTGATATTCTGGTTTTCAGAATATGGTCATAAAGCACAGATATCCCATCCACTCCTCCAACAAGGAAAACACTTGAGATGGGTATGATATTAACAAGAAACAATGCAATGGCTTAAAAGCTCCTATTCCAAAAAAAATCAAGCACATGAAAAATGAATTGCTTCTATTCGGTATGAGCCACTCTGCAAAACCCATTCTCCCTTATTCCAGAGTTATGGCCAGAGGTCTGAATGAAATGGCACCAGGCACAAAGGCATTGCATGTGTGGAGTGCTTTGCCTTTTCAGTGCAGATCTCGGTGAACAGCACCTACCAGGACACCAGGAGCACTTACTGGTGGTTTCCAGGCAGTCACCGTAGTGGCCAAACTGCCCTTTGAGACTGTGCGAGGCAGCCCAGATGTCATCCTTCCAGAAGGCAATTTTTTACCGTGACAAGATGAGTTCATCAGATAGTTGCTGAGGAGGATAAGATGACACCAGATGTGGCTTCAAGTCACACTTACTCTGGCCTATGGGTGGGCTGCTGCCAGCCAGAGCAGTCCCGCTGCACTCCTTGACCTGCAGCAACAGGCTTTCTGCCCCGCTCGTGGACTGGACCCAGCTATTGGACCCAGGGGACGTGGTTCCATGAGCTGACCCAGCAGAAAACTGTATGTGTTTTGCTATTTTTGGCAGGCTAATTTTCCATTAGCCTGCTCTGCCGCTCCATAATCAATTGATAAGACTCAAAGGAAGCAGCAAGAACATGTGGCTAAGGGCAAGATGGATCGAGGCCACCCTTTCCATGGGAGCCTGCAGTTACATCAGATTAAATGTAACGTGAAACCAATGTCTGCACTGGTGGTGGTAAGGTTGCGCCCATGAAACGCATATAGCATAGACCTAAATGGGCTTCCACCCTGACTCACAGCTTCGTGCTTTGTGTCTGAGGCATGCTGGGGCTCTGCATGATTTGAACAGAGGGCCTTGGCCAGCACAAGTCCCACAGGATATGCTTCCTGCCTTTAGCCCCTCTGCTGCATACTTTCTCTCTCGACTGCCCAAACACTGGGACAAATTAAGGAGACAATAGTAGTCCACTCCTGATTTCTATAAGGGCTTCATTTTGGCAACACAAAACATAGAGTGGATGACCTTTTCTTCAGGCAGCGAGATAAGGCATAGATAGGAAAGGGCAGCTCACGTGGGTTACGCTCCATCCGTGTGACCTGAGACAAACCTAAATATCAGTTTAGACATAGAAAAGGGACTTCCTTTGGTTACCATTTCTGATTACCACCCTTAGAGGGAACTGGTGGTGTTTAATTTTTTGGAACTACATACAGGGTTTTTTTTTTTCCTATTATATACTGTTACCATGACTGTTACGTCTATGAATTCTTTCTTGGTCTATACTTCTTGTGGTCAGCCACAGAACGATTTTGATAGCCTGCTGGATGCCAAAGGGAAGTATATCTGGATTTGGCTGGCTTAAGAGATTTTCAAAGTCAACTTTAAATATCAGTGCAGATGTACATGGTGGCTTCTACAATTACTTCTGATTATCTGTCAGAGGACTGGTGTGCATGTGTGTCCAGAAGAGGGGATAGAAGAGAAATGGGGGTAAAGACTAAACTATTTATGCTTTGTCAGAAAGAATGAGCATTGCTGAAAATATAAAATCTCTCTCTCAGACCACATGGTAGCAAAGTTTCTGTGTGTCTCCAGGAGAAACCTGAAGTAGACATGGCTGAGGAGCTTCACCCTTCATCCCTGAGCCGCAGTCCCATCTCTCCAGCAGAAACCAGACGCAGGCAGCTTTCATAGTGCTGTCAGAGAAGTGGTTTCTGGATTTTGGAGAGGTAAGGCAGAAAGACTGCCCATTTCTTGTGCTTTTCTAGAAAGGCAGCTATAGCTAGGTTTAGATTTTATCTGTGTTCTCTTCCTTCCATAGATAACTTCTGGTTTCTCTCAAAACCAAAACTTGGGCATGGCTTTTTCTTTTGGTTTGCGTACATTTCTTGTTTGGTTTGTTGAAATCTTGCTCCTTACAGCATAGGTATGTGGTAAAAATGCATGCTATATGAAGAAAACCTTGTCACAAAAGATGTGTTATGCAAAACTTCAGTGAACTGAACTCCTAATTAGGAAAAATTCCCTAGACCTGTCTATCATGCAACCAGTAATAACTTCTGTTAAGAAAAGTCATTTTCCTAGAGTTGAAAAGCAAAAGGCTGCTACTCAAGCTCCAAACCACTCATTTGTAATCCTAATTCAGTGAGTATCATGCTGTTTAAAATAGAATGACTAAATGTCCTTTTTTTAAAAACAGTGCAATGAATTGTCTTTAAATTCTCCCTGAAAGACAATCACATTCAGATGTTCCTTGGCACCAATTAGTTTCAATACAGCCATTTCAAAGGCATTTCTTCTTCAAACAGCACGGTATGTTATATAAAGTTATGTGGCTATTGGAAGGGAACTCACGTACTCCATTAAGGTGAGGGTCCAGAATACTACTGGGATACTTAGCAGCAAGTGCTAAATCACAGTTCAGTGAGGTCACATAATCAAATTCCAGATTATGCCTTTTATTACGTTTGACTAATAAATCTTTGGAAACTAGAGTCTGACAAGTTCATCACAGCATTTTAACTTTTCAGTGGTGCGTGCAGAATATATATACATACAGAATCTTACAAAAGCAAAAAAAAAGAAGAAAAAAAAGCAGTAGCAAGTCCACAATAAGAGTGGAAGAAAAAGTAGTCTTAACGTCCGATGCCACCAGACTGAAAAGTTACACTGAAAGATGTGCCTCCATTTTTAATTCGAACCTTCTCAACTGAAGTATAGCAGTTTATTATGTAGTTCCAGTGAACAGATTTGCACATCAGACGTTTCACTGCATTACGGATGGGACAATGTTAACTATGTTTTCACTGCAGTTCCACAGGTCACTGGCATGGGCATAAGCCAAGACCATACGGTTAGGATTATTGCAACATAGGTATTGGTCATGCAGCTAGCTCCATGGTAACTAACAGCATTTAATGCTTAGATAATACGGTTTCATTATCGCAAACGAAATTAAGGAGCCCATTCCCATATAGAGACAATCCAAGCAAAAGTCCACACCATTCTACCAGGCTGTTAATTGAACTTTTTTCCACCAGGATTCAAAAGGAGGAGGAGGTTAAGGGAACTCACTGATATAGCAACATGGTTGAACGCAAACCTATGCTGCAGAAGACTTACCATCATCCAGGTACATCTGGTCCAATTCCTCAGGTTCTCGCTTGATCGTTACAGGAATAGGGGCCAAATTATGATTACTTTCCTCATGCAATTCTGGCAATGACAGTGGTTGGGTTGTTGGAGACTCATTTCTGTGAACCTTCGGCAGTTGCTGCTGCTGTTGACCCATTATGGATGAGTGAGTTGGACTGCAGGACTGCAAATAGGTTGGCTCTTGGGTAACAGATGGAACTGGAGAAGAGGGACTGTTGGGATAGAGTGTTTGTTGATAACCAAGGGGACAGCTACTGCTCAGATGTTGACTCACCTGCGGCTGCAGCATGATGTGAGATGATTGCTCGGGGGAGCTTGGGTGCACAACTATAGACCTTGGCACTTCCTGTATGGTGGGGACACCGCCAGCGGGCTGCTGAAGTCCGAGGTGACTGTGGCCCGGGTTGGGGATGCACTTGTAAGGAGAGGACGAAAGGTCGTGCAGCTTGGGGCTTGCATTGGGAGAGGGTGACATCACGGCGTTTCTCTGCTGACAGGAGGCAAAGCCAGCCACGAGGCACGAACCAGGATCAGGGGGCATCATGATCTGCTGGCTGTAGTATGGTTTAGAGAGAGGGCTTAAGCCTTGGTTCATTGGTCCACAGGTTTGAGCAGGCTCATAGTCATCTGTGGGTTCTGTTTTTATAATTGGAACTGTTAAAAGAAAAAAGTTTTAAATAAACATGAGTTGCGTATTGGTATGATCAAGTTGGCTTGTGGCTAGGATACCCTTTGCAAAACAAACAACGTCTTGAATAAGACTCTGTGTGTCTTTTGCCTAGTTCTCCCACCCTATAAAAAAAAATGAATGAGTCATCAGCACAAGAAAGTCACAGCTGGTTCTAATATTGAAAAGGACTATTTTCTTTGGACTCTCCTCCAGCACTAATGTGCTATAAAAATCTATTTGCAAATAGCTGTGCTTCAGTGGAAGCTTTGGACCCAAGGGCTCCATGGATTTGTAGTAATCAAAGCAAGAATTTTAACTTGGATATACTACTGCATTTCTACGGCTACTGATGGCCCATTTGATAAATGTCTGCATATTCGGTAAACTGGAGCATAATAAGGTAGAGATGGGGCTTTCAGAGTTCATTGAAAGTAAAATTGCAAAGATACATGACAAACTACTATGTACAAGAAGTTTTCAATTATAAGGGTATTTCTGAAAGAGTAGGATTTGATTTATTTAGTTTTTACATGATTGTATTTAATCTTACTAACCAGCCAATGGGTGTAAAATATTCAATAAGTGGCATCCAACTTTCAGTGATTCTAAGTTGGATCCAAACTATAATGCCAGCTTCTAACAGATGCTAACTCGGTCTCTGGCTACCAAGAAAAACTGACTCCTATTCTAGACCTCTGCTTGCTCTACCCATTGTCCCAAAAGAGGCTCTAATTGAGCTGTCAAGCCATGTCTCTAAATACCACCAGCAATGGAGAGAATGACTGTCTATGAGCATAAAGTGAGTCATGACAAACGTAGAGCTGCTTTCCCAAATCAGAGAAGAGATGCTTCCTCAAATCAAAGTGTCTTTTTCACATCGGCTTCCTCTCTCAAATCAGAGAGAGGTGCCTTTGCTGCTTCTCCTACAACATATCCAGTGCATAGCTGAAAGAAACCCGCTT